TAATTTTTTGATACATTGTAAAAGAACGTTCCTCAGTAATAAATTTGAATATTTGCCACAAGTACATTATTGTATTAGAATATATCAAATTCTGAGTTCAAATAGGTTCCTATTCAAATTGTTTATAACTTTATAAAGTAGCAGGCACTCATAAGTTAGAGCTTGCAATATGTAGAATGTAATTGCAATTTGGATCCAAGTTATGTACAAGGAAACATTTTACCACTTTGTGCAAAATATAGAGACTAGTGGATTTGGTTCAACGGTTGATTTTTAATACTGATGACCTATAATTAGGCTTACCCAGGCTTGGAAAGAGCTATTTTCACTGGGAAACATATTGTTATCTAGTGAAAACCAATTGCACTACTGCCTGGACATCAGACTGTCCATGACGGCTGTAGAGCCTGGAACCGTTGATTTGAAGCCCAAAGCTCTAAAAACTAATCCAAATCAAAGATTATCTAATCAAAATGATCTTACATAATCGTAAGCCGGGCAATCAAGGATAAAATAGCTGATCAATGCAACATTGTATTTAAAACATTCGGTCGTATAAGCATTCGCACGACCGATGATTATCTATAATTATCAAAAGCCATGAAGCACAGATAAAAAGGGGAAACCAGCGAATCGCTCTACCATGTAATCGAGACGTTCGTAACCCTACTTTATTTATTTACTGGAACTAAACAAAATGTACATAATGACTGCAATTATTATAAAACTGGAGACAACACTAAACTTTCGAATCGGCTTTGGACTTTTCCGCATATTGGAGGACAGATTTGAATATATGTAATTTATAAAAGTATAATGTAAATTGAAAAACTAGATTCTACTGAACTAATACTAATCTGTCCTTATTCTAAAGAAGTAGTTACAAAGAGTGAGCAAAAAATCAAATGTATTCAAATGACACTAACTACCCAAATGTACATAGTTTTGATAGACTCTAATTAACTTATTCAAAAATATATCTGCTGTTACTCAGCCTTTTTTGTTCTTTATTTGTAATTATTTATTTCAAGTTACAATGATTAACAAGGTACAGTCAATTCTAAAACCCATAATTAACTACCATAATTCTGAAATAATATGTTAAACACATTTAAATACTGTTTCGATGTGTCATAAATATATCTCGTTTCAAAAAAGATAAAATCGCACAGCGGTAGCATTGCGCTATAAACACCGTATTAAATTACTCACTGCCATCATCTAATGAAAACCAATTGAAATGTAAATGTGCGCGCTGACATAGCTCTAACCAATTCGTAGGTAAACAAGTTCAATTCGGATAAAAAAATCTTTCTAAATAATAGCAAAACATTTATTTTTAGAATTATTATTAATAATATTAATTGGCTGAGAATAAATTAAATAAATGTATTATAATAAATTAATACATTATGTTTTGTTATATTATTATCAGAGTAGAATTTTAGCACTTTGAATATTTTAATGTAAAAATAACCTACTCTATAATCAAATCAAATTACCATTCTATTACATATAATTATCTATCTATTACATATAAACTATTTATTTATATTATTTATTATTATAGTGAATAATATATTGTTCCATTGTAGACTACATTGCTTTGCTCTCAAAAGCTTCATCCAATATAAAATAATACAGTTAAACCCAGTTCAGGCTAACTACGTATGTTAGGACGTTTGTTTGCGGCACGAGGACAGGTGCGATTGGAACGTCGGTTGCGTCTGCCTAGAGAAGAAGAGTATTCAAGGTGCTTGACCGAACCCACGAGCAACCAACTCAAGTTTACGAAGACGCGATTGGGACGAAGCAAACAGATTTAATAATAATAATTATAAAAAAAATCTAGAAGTAAAAATATTGGATCATTAACATTAATGAAAAATCATCGTTTTTGGATGCTATCGCATTTTTTTTTTCTTTCATAAAACGTTAACAAAGACTACTTCTCAAAATATTAATTACCTCTCATTTTACATACTCGTACTCGTACGCATCATTACTCAGTTTTGTACACTTTCTGAATTATTAGTATGAAAATATATGTGGGTTTTAGTTAACTTCAAAATATTAAACTCTGCATTAAAATTTCAAATACTAATTATTGTAACTTTTGATAATAAATCGAGCACAGACTTCATACTAATTTATTATCAAATAAAATATCTAAGTTATATTTCTCAGGACAAAAGTGTCTGAAGTAAAGAGAGAGCCTTTGCGGATGCGAGTAAAGACTACAAGAACAGAACGGAACAAAACAGTAGAACCGGTACGAGTGCGCCAGTTGATGGTCCGCGAGCATAGAATGCCAGACAAGATTAGAGAGATATCAGTCGACCATTATATTCAATTTTTAAATTATATAAATTGATAGTTCACCTTACAACAATACTTGCACGAAAAATGAACCGTTTCATTAGTATTTTCTTTGTGTATTTAGAAACGAATCATTTCTAGTATTAAAACATTAGACTTCTCTCCAAGGATGAGTTCTAAGTTAATATTTTCTCTTTTATTCTATTTTTTCTATTTTCATGTCCATTAATCACGTGATCCACTTTTACCTACTTATTATAAATCTATAATTAACTACCCTACCCCTTGGTGATACGTGGTGATATTTAAAATTGGCCCCCTCTGCCAGCCAACATCACGTGCATCAAGAAAAAACGTTAAATTTTTGGATTTTTTCTTGAAAACTTTGGATTTTTTTAAATTCAGGTAAAAAATAAATATACTTGATATCTTACTAGACCCCTCCCCTTCCCCCTCATGATATTTCGTGACTTTGTGTCAAATACATCCTCCTCTTGTAAGCCTCACGTGATTAATAGACGTCCTCTTGTAAGATTTTATTATATCTTGATTGATATTGAAGAAAATAAAAAAATGATGGTATTAAAATCTTTTGAGAAAAGCAGTGGAAGTGGAAATGCGTGTGAGTAAACCAAATACCAGAAACATATATTCCAGAATTTATGAAATATATTTATTTATTGTATTTTACAGAATGAAATACTGCAGATAAATTATTTATAATGGACATTCTTTGCCGTTCAAGTATTACGTAAGCACTATAGGGAGGCGGGGGGTTGTTGATTTGCTTATTGTGGGTTGACATGGAGGGCAGGGGTGTCTGGATGATGATTACGTCATAGGTAGTATTTTTATTTTTTTACGTTAATTGCAAAATGTTTACGTAAGCATGGGGGTAGGGGGTAAGAGCTTGGCTTACTTTTGCTGACAAGGGGGATAGGGGGGTAAATAATTGTAATAAATCTGCTTACGTAATACTTGAACGATCCCTAATTAGACACTATCAAAAATATGGCACACGTTTAGAAACCCTTATGTGATACTTCCACAAATATCTTGTATCTGTGAATAATTTTTCCCTCAGCTATCCTCTTAACACGGTACCGTATGGGCGAGAGACCGGACGCGAGCAAGCACATTACCTGTGACGGTCGTACGCGCGACCTGTACACAATGCGCGTCGTTGACCGAGCCATATGTCAAAGCGGCTACTGAAATCACTTCGCAGTAATCAACAGTGTACAAATAAAAGATTCAAAAATAGAGCAATCGTGGGATTGAGCATCTTGTGAAGAAAGAGTATTTTAATCGCTTGATAAGAGTCACTTAATAAAATACTTCACACTTGCAAAGGCAAGAATTTGTCAATAGTAATATTATATAAAAAATATATTATAAATTATTATTATTGTTATTATTAACCCGCAATTGCCATTGCAAAAATATAATGTATCCATCTTCAATAAATATGATGTTCAGAAATAAAATTAAACAAATCAAAATATTTATTTAACGGTAATATAATTATAATATAAAGCTGTAAAAGAAACCAAATATTGCCACAAGCTGCTCTAGATTTTCGCAAACAAGAGAAAGCTATGAAACACATTCCATCTTATATCAAACGAACTTTATTTGATCTGTTTGTAGCAATCGCAATATAACGCGCGCTTGAAAAGAATGCAAGAAGCAAGGTTGCTTTCGAGTTTCTACCAATTAAAACTCAGTGTTTCTTATAAATAAATATATTATAAAAACTCAATTTTTATTATAATATTAAACTATATTCGGTCTTTATCATTTGCTTCACAGCTCCACCTGGATAGGAAATTAAATTGGAAACAACATATAATTAATAAAAAACAGCAATTAGATCAAATTTTTAAAAAATTCTACTGGCTACTAAAAAAAAATTCTGAACTCTCAGTTTACAATAAACTGTTAATATACAAGGTGGTACTCAAGCCCATATGGACCTACGGTCTCCAACTTTGGGGTACAGCAAAAAAAAAGCAACCTGAACATAATCCAACGTGCTCAAAACAAAATCCTGAAGCAAATATTAAATGCTCCTCGCTACACCCCTACCCCCCAATCCATCAAGACACAGGATTGCTCACAATAGAGGAACAAATTTTAGTGGTTGCTTCTAAATATAAAAATAGGATTGACGTACATCTCAACGAATTGGCTAGCAGAGTTTACCTGGATAGTCAGCCCACCAGATTGAAAAGAAAGTTGCCACAAGACCTTATCTAGTCCAGTTAAACCTAATTACTATTTTTTTATGTTTTATTTGATTTTTTGTTTTTTTTGTATTTCTTTTCTTTTTTACTTTATTATTATTATTATTTCTTATTATTAACATGTGTTATATATACCTAGTAGACACGCCGCTGGGTGTTGCTACTATCTTCTTGTTTATATTATATGATAATTATTGTTAGCAATCTCTGCTTAATGTTAATGAATATGTAAAACAGATTGCAGAATAAATTAAATATAAAAAAAAAATCATTTGCTTCACAGTTAGATTTTTTACATTTTTAAAGAGCAATAAAATAATCATGGACTTTATACGATTCCTTGCATATAAAAGATGCCAACTAGTAGTTGACATTTATCCATTCATCATATTATTTCTTATGTTACAAAACAATTTTTAATTTTTTTCTACTTACCAGCTGCCATTAGTTCGGGCGCCAGAATGCCGCTAAGATTCGGCTCCTCACCGTACCAGAAGATCCATAGCTCCTTAGCAGCGCAGAGCGACAACGGCGGGTGAGTGACGGGTGCATTACCGATTGGTCCAAGCCCTGGGCCAACCATGTCGAACAAACCACCGCCATTCGCGGAAGAATTGGGGTCTGCCGTGTTGCCTGAAAGCGGAGCGCCTGGTGCCGGCGATGCAACGCGACGCCATACGCACAAAATATCCCCGGCGAGGCAGCGCGAGAACGAGGACAGCACCGGGTCCTCGAGAGGCTCCGGTGCGTAATGCGACTCGCCCAGGGCCACACGGCGCCATTTGATACCGCACAGGTCGGTCTGAAAAGGTAAATGAAATAAATTGAATTTCTCAATTGAAAAGATAAATATCATAGAAAGCACATTTTAACTACCGCAAGGGCATCTCTAGAAATGCATTGATCTCTGATAATATTAGCTACTAAACCTGCTTTGCTAAAACTACTCCTACATGAGAGATTTATTCTATTTTAATTATTATTCAAAATGTAATATTATCAAAAATAAATTTTAAATTTTGGATAATAATGTATTACTATTGCATTTTGACGTCCCAATGCAAAAAGTTTTAAGTGCTGCTTCTCTAGATCAGTGATTTCAAAGTGGTCCATGTGGATCTCCAGGGGTCTTTAAACTTTAAAGGCAACTTTAAAGGGTTCAACGTCAATAAAAACGAATTTAGAGTACCCACAACACACCTTGTTAATATTTATATTCTATCATTATTTTAAAGTCAATTGATAAATATTTAAGCTGGTATTTGTATTTTAATAATACAATAATTGTTTAATACTAAACGTTAGTGCATAAAGAAATTTATAAAAAACTAGCAAAAACCCGACGAACTCCGTTTCGCCACCAGATGGTTTCGTGAGAAAGGAAAAGAAATTTTTTGTTTGTTTTATATTAGAAAAGAAAAAATTTGATTTTATTACACAACAGTAATGAATTTATTTCGATTACAAAAATGAAGTGTTTTTTAGTTGAACTTCTCTAAGTAAATGAAAGTGAATCCGCAAATTATCCGTTTCATTGAAGTGCTCTTTGTTAAACCACATTTTTTGTCTTTTGGTCTGACTTTAACACAAACAAAGCGTATGGTTTTCCAACTCGTGAACAGGCAACGTATAACTGCCCAAGTGAAAAACATTGATTTTCTAAATAATCTATTTGAAATTTATCCTGCAAACACTAAGCGATTGGCTCGAAACACTTGCGACTTGTTATTGCGAACGCAAGGCGAACTGGAAATTGCAATCGTTTGAAGTCAAACGGAAGAGTCGGAATCATTGGTATGTCACCAAATCGCCTGCAGTTTTTGATTAAATGGTGAAATTCAGCGTGTACATAATTATTCTTTGCGGCAAGAACTGCTCGTTGACTTAACCAAGCATAATTCTGATAATTCTCACTAATGTCATTACTCGAATTTTTTATTACGGTGCGTGAAGTTCCAGCAATTTGCATTAAGGCACAATGCCATGCACCACTAATTTTCTTAGCTATAAACCTTGCGGAGCCCGAGACCTGTCCAACGAATGCAAAAATTGTCGAAATCGGTTCGTACATTCTGGAGTTATATCGTCAGGAAGGAAAACCTGACTTATTTATATATATATATGTATGTAGATATCGATATCGGCTAAATAGGGGGTTTATCTGAAGGGGTCCAACGCCACAAACATGTTTATAAACCTATGCTCTAGTAGATGGTAATTAATATAACGTAACAATAGGTAAAATATTTAATAAACTCATACAATTTTGGCAATATAAAACATGAGAATAGATATTGTGACTAATATGATTATTTAGGCATCTGAATCATTACGTCAGTGATAGCTTAGTTAATCACGAAAGCTATGCACCACATAAAGGCATAACATAATATACGCCAGAATAATTCATAGTTCATTTGCGTAGAAGCGTCGACGGTCACTTGAGTGACATTAGCGAAACGCCTGTTGTTAGAGCTATAGGGCGAAAAAGGATATATAGTACAGTGGGTGAACTAGGGGACAGTTTATCGATTTGGAAGCACACGAGCACGTTAGCATCAGGGTTACGTAATGTTTATACGCTGCTTCCGCGGTAATCATCGTATCGCGCCACGCCACGCTGTTCCGCTGCGAATCGGCATACGGGAGACACCGTTAAACGATTATCACACCTAACAAAACATTTTATTGATAACTTTTAAATGGGCAACGATTTCACCTCATTCAGAATCAAATCAAGCCTTTAGAATATTAACTATAATAAACAAAAGTCTGGCGCTAAGAAATTCTACATGAGCCAAGCCATGTCAGACATACTCTATTTGATAGAAGGAGTAAATAAGTTTATTATAGGGCCATGTATGTCATATATGTGTGACATAAAGAATAGTAATATTATTATTTTTTTTAACTCTGTTTTATTCAGCAATCAGAAATACATAAGAATTCCTATAAGCTATAAGCTAAAATTTTTGACTGAGTTCTCTGCATTATATCTATATTTGATTTGTAAGCACATTCCCAGAGCTCAATTCCGTAGGTCCAGATTAGTTTAATGATTTTTTATATAGCAAAAACTTATTATAGAAGAATTCCTTGATACATTTTCAACTAAATTATCTAATAAAATACCTTGGACCATGTGAAAAATTATCTGATATCATCGTGGCCAGTAATAATGTTGCTATTAAAATCTAATAATCACATGTATGTAAATTTCATTCGATTCATTTATATTTTTCTCCCAATGATCTACGAATACACATCCACGTTAAATATGCATTCGTTTCATTATTTGAACGTGCTGAATGCAAGATCAGTCGATTTTTCCACAGTTGGAAAAGCTCTTCAATCAAACTCGTCTGAATTATATATGTATACATCGTTGTATGAACTGTGTAAAAGTTATAAGCAGTTTTCTAGAAAGCTGGATTGAAATGTTATCGATCTAATGCGCGATAGCGATTGAGAACGTTCTGGAAGATGAATAATAATAATAAGAAATATATTTATAACATGTAAATTATTTAAAATAATAAAAAAAGGACCTATTGAAAATGTCATTGTGTATGTAGTGCAATTTGTTTGATAAAAATTTGTGGTCATTGAAGGTCATACATTTATAATATTAATTTATTTTTGATCATTTTATAAAGAATGGTGACGTTCAAAACAATTTCCAAAATGCATAGCTGGTTGATTTTGACATGTTTTACAATAAAATGTTGTTCGCCGCCTTCCTCCTGGTGCTTTTCCGTCAGAACAGACAACCCTTAACCCTTTTTCTTTCTCTCGCATTTAGAATATGCCACTGATTAGTCAGTATATTTGGTCATTTTTTTTTGCTGCCATAATGGTTTATTTTTTTCTATTATATTGTCTAATAATTTATTTGTAAAATATAAAGTAAAATAATCTATTGGATGTCTTAAATTGCTTGGTTTTTGTAGTCGGGGTGTTTGTTGATGTATGTCAAACTCGGTTATTGAAGGAGAATCGGCACATTCGCTAATGTCTTTCCGTTCTTCATTTAATTTGTTCAACTTCTTTTCCTTCTGTTTGTTGGATAATATCATCATCACATTCATCACTATCTTCGGTGCGAATAGTAATTTCGTAAAATTTGTTTGTATGATTGTCTATTTGAAACTCAACTTCACTACTGCTTAATTCACAAAATTTATCAGTCGTTTTGCCATATTTAAAAGCGCTCGGTCGTTTTAAATATTAAAAAAAGACTATAAAGCAAAGAAAAAGGTTAAAAATACTACTGAAATAACTTAAAATTATTTTCAAAATACAATACTGTTTATCACTGCTATATGTAATTTATTCAACTTTTCGAAGCAAACTGAGTCATTGTTTATAAAATAGCCTGTGCCTCACAGAGTATGTTTGTCCACTGAGGTGGACAGCCGTCCCCAAAGTGTTAAATATAAGTATCAGCTTCAAAATCAAAGTTGATAAAAATTCAAAAATGCCAAAACAAATTAAAAGTATGTACTAAATCGGTTAATACATAAAGACGCCGACATAATATACGATAAAATTTCAGACAATTACAAAAGATGGTAGAGAAATCATAAATCGGAAAGTTTCAGCAATTCCGTTAAAGCACAACCCATATATTATTGAATTTTTTTAATATGCTAGCAAAATTCAACTAAAAAAACTTGCTTCAATATATAATATAATAAAATCTAGTATTAAATTTTAATACTTTTAATTACCTATCTATTAAAATCTAAATATCACCTTAATATCGTTCACGCGGCATAAGTGTAAAATCTATAAGGCATGTCAGTACGACAGATAGAAAGTTTAAACGGTCAAACACGTGTAGGTAACACGCCCACACGCGCTTTTCCCACACATCGAAAAGAATCCTATACATGTATACTGGCAGTCTCCCAATTATTAATAGTAGTCCTTACAGAGAATGCGCGTAGTGACATGCTACGTTTCGCTACGGCGCCCGCATGCGTAGCGCGTAACAGAACAGCGAACCGATAATCGCAGGGTCGACGGGGAATAAAAAAGAGCCTTAACAATGGCAATGAAATCATAATGTAACTAATATTTCAGTAGTCGATAATTGTAATTTATCGAATTGTGGTAATATAATGAATCACATTGCAAAGCATTTTTTTAATAAACTTAGTTTTTAATATTATTTTCTGAACTAAAATAACACTAGATACAAAATTATTACACCTGTACCTATGCTTTTATTCCAATTTCTAAATTTTCTAGGAACTTCAGTTTTAACTCATTATACGTGAAATCGAAACTTAATGTCAAGTAATTCATCAAAAGTCGATTTTAATCTTTGATTTATTTAAAAACAAAATATAAAATGTATTCTGGTATAGAGAAATGAATTTTATGCAATTTTTGAAAGGCCGTAAAAGAGGCAAACAATATTTTTACTATATTTTTTACAAGTTATTAATTATAATTTGAGAATTTAGAAAAAAATTAAAAATACTCATAAAGTTTTTAATTTTAAGAATTGATAAAATCGGAGTCAGATAAAATTGACACCTGACTATGATTTCAACCCTCCAAATAAAAAAAATATATACATATACTAGCAAACCGGACGAACTCCGTTTCACTACCAGATGGTTTCATTTTATGTAACATTTCGTCTAGTGATTAAAAGATGAAGAAAAAAATTGCCTGCTGTTGAAATTGAATAAAAATTTGCACAATACACGCGATTTGATTTGATGGTTTCCAATTGAAATATTAGGAAACGAATAACTTATTTTTTTTTACTTTTTTTTGCACAATTTCACA